TATATATTACGTTGTATTTCTGCAGATCAATCTTTGTCTAGTTGTAGCGGGCTACCTTTATGGGGGGTTAGTTGTACCTGCAAAGTTCAATTGGAGGAGGATTATTTGTTAAAATGTCAGCCAGGCGAAACTAAAGAGTGGTATTGCGTTTGTTAATTTTGGGGGCGGAAAGCATGTACTACTCCCTCGTGCCTAATCTAATCTATACATAGCAGATGGCATAACGATCATAATTATAGGAGGCCATTAAAAACTAATAATGCTTTTAAGAACTTCTGCTAAGCTTCTGAAAGCCTAATAGCTTTCCAGAAGCCTAAATGCGAATTCTGTTTAGCTAAGAAAACGTCACCTCCACCTTGCCTTCCCCAGTGCCCGCCCCTAGCCCCAACGAATGCATTAGATATTATTTAATTTTAGTGTATATATATATATAATGATTTCATTTCATAACGCAGTCATCATGATTGCCATTTCACTTTGGACCAACACAAACGTTTTTGACATTTCATTATTAAATCTGGCTATGCAAGTTAATAGCGAAGAGGTATCACGACCGCATTATTCTCTTACCGGAAAAAACCATCACCACATTCAATACATATTGCCCTCCACTGACGTTCGAAGTTCTCTTATCACCGCTACATGCAAGAGTACATCGAATAATCCTATACAAATATTGCATATCCTTTTCTCATCTCTACACAGCGTCACGTCAATTGGTGGCCACGTATGGTTTTGCGCGCGAATGTGATCTAAAGAGCTGGCTATGTCCTTCAAACAAAAACGGGCCTAAAAGCCTGATTTGAACCTACGAATGAGAAAGAGAGAGGGAGGGAGAGAGAGAGGGAGGGGGAGAGGGGGGAGAGAGAGAGTGAAAAAGGTCCGCAGATGATGAGTAGCAAATGGCTGTAGAAAAAAAACTATTCTTCAGAAATACGTTACGTTGCCGCTCAGTGGCTGGTTAAAAAATATGAACTTTTTCATATCATCATCGAATCCTTTTTAACTGACCTTTCGTCTGTGCGTAACTGACCTTAACAGAGCTTTAAGCTGTAGCCGCGCTTCTGTTGACATGGTTGGTTAGTTGTATGTTCTGTGCGATTGATTCTGTATCATTATAAGCTTGAATAATATTTGTGTACATATTAAGTTTAACCAGATCATTCGTGTGTTCCTTTGCATGTTAGGGTCAATATTTCACTGATTTTGGTTTCATCATCTATGTTTCGTTCTTTCTTTTCACTTCTGTCATCGTTTAGAATTTCGTCCAGTGGAACTTTGAGTAAATAAATATATTTTATAGAAAACAATTAGTAAGGTAAACGTAACAGTTATGTATAATATTACAAATTTTGCTACGTTGAATGGCGCTAACAATCCAATACTTATCAAAGCAACATGTATGTAGTTCAAAGAGATACAACAGTCTACTATGTGGATTGTTTCATAGTATCCGCCTGATTCATTGTCGGGAAAAGGCACCTGTCTGACTCTGCCTGTATAACGAAACGTTTTCTTCTTTCTCAGTTACCCTCAGTGAAAATACCTTCTATCTCTGCGTCTCGCATCCTGTATGCATGTGTTTAAAAAATGATTTTAACTCCCCTAGCCTCTTATAGAGCTCGACAGAGCTGGCAAGATGCTGTTCGTATAGGAAAAAGTGAACTGTTCCATGAATCATTAGTAGAAAAAAAAAGTAGTGACTACTCGTAACGAATCGTATACACGAACATACAAACTTAGTCCTCTGATTTTCAGTTACGGTGGTAACTTGCCATACATTTGATCTGAGCGTATAAATTTTGCACTTAACCAAAGCCTATTAAATTATTACGTACATTTACGCGCCAAGCGTGTGCATCTCTCCTGAGCGACGCGCTCATTTGCTGCACGATTGAGATGAACGTTCGTTCACTCTTCGCTCCGAGTTTTGCTTGAAAACGAGATGTAATTACTACGAGCCGACGATCCCGATAACGGCTTTAATAGCTTTGATTCATCCTGTGGGTGGGTAACCTTTGGATGAATAACAGACCTTCAACCTGAGAATTTTCAAAGGTTCTCCTCGCGACTTGCTTGCTTAACGAGTTTAACGTTAATAAAGTGGGCCAATACGAATACGTATGGTACGATCTGCTACCGCTGATAAGCATTTTTGTGGTAACTTAGAAAAAAAAAATTTGCTTTTGATAGAAGGCTTGATAGAGACGACTACTTTTGTTAGATGGTTATGTTGGAGAATTCAGCTCTTGGAAGAATGAAACTAAATTTGTGAAAATTTATACTTTCGAGCATGCACATACAGAGATATCTGCTTAGTCATATATAAACACAATCGAATTTAGCCCCGGTTACTACCTAACTTCTAGCTATATCGGCGTTGTTCAATTGGCTACATAAAACGGCACTTTATCACATGTAACTTTTCGAACTATTTAAAACTGCGGCTATGCCATTGTCGCCACCCTATCCGCCGCCTGTTCATTAGATTATAGTCGACCAGTTTGTAGCTGCCGCCATCAGTCCACTGAGCAAACAACTATCTTTAGTATAATAGCATGCGTCATGTCCGTCAGATTCAACTGTCCGCTTCCCTTGTCACAACTGTTTCCTCACCATTTCATCTAATGAAAAGCATTGAGTTTATTTTTATTAATTTTACAAATCTAGATAAGATGGCTGTTCCTTTCCATGCTGTGACGGCTCCAGATGCATTGCATTTATGTCGTTGTGTTGCGTGGCTACTATACGTACGCTGTTATTGTTCTTTCCATTGTTGTTTATTCTGTTGTTGTGATATGCCCTACAGGCTGCACTCCTGCCGCGTTGTCTGTCGTCGACATCGGCGACGTCGGCTTCGACGGCCGGCAAAGGTTCGTCATCCTCGTCGTCCCGACTGCTGTCATTATCTCCTCTTAGCCGGCGCATGGATTCTCTTGTCCTGTCGACCTTTTCGTCTGTAATAACGAACAATAACAACAGCCATAATAATAATAATAATAATAATAATAATAATAACAACAGCAACGGACGAAAATCGAACTTCCTGCAGATGGCGGCTGCCACTGCCACCAACAGCCATCATCATCATCATCATCATCAACAACAGCTCCATTGCAACAATTATTCCAACAATAGCATTAACTTCAGCCCAGGAGGCACTTCCTCGTCCTCAACTACGACGATTTCTGCCTTAACTAGTTCGCCGAGCACGAGCACTTTAACAGTCAGTAGCGGGCATAGCACTGGCAACGCCAAACGAGTCACTGATAGTAATAACGGAAAGGGGAAGAGCAACAAAAATCAAAAAGCCACTAACAACAACAACAACAATACTAGTGCGTCGATGATGGCCCCTCCGCCTAATGGCAGAAGTGCGATTAAGAACACGTTCGGCAAAAAGCGGAGATCTAGTGGAGCTCAGAAAGCGAACGCCTAGGCCGACAAATAACCCCAAGTAGAATATCATGGCGCTCTCTAAAAGCTGGGGCGACACAGAGTGTACAACTACATCAAATCACACCTAATACGTATATATATATATATATATACATATATATATATATATATATATACATATATATAAAAAAGAAACATCAATGGACATCGAACGCGCGAATAATTTTATCACAGCCGTCAAGTAACTATGTCTTCATCAATAACAGTATATCGTCGTTGGGTTCAGAGCGGGCGATAAAGATTCTAGCGATTTCACGGTATGCTCAGGCATACCGCATTACAAATTAGAAAAGCGAAAAAAAAAAGGAAATCGTTAATACATAGCAATGCCTTAACTCTTCAGTTCGAGAGCTGAACTAAAATAAAGGTCGCAAACACACGCACATGGTTTATTAATTAGCGGTTTAATAAAAAACCGTCTCCCGTTCTAAGACAGAGTAAAGAAAAAAAAGTTAATCACAATATATATATATATAACGAAAAACAAGAAACAGACAATGGCTTTATATGACCGAAAAAAATGACGTTGAGAAATAGTCTTATATGATTTTGTTGACTGTATATGTAGAGGCAAAAAAAAAAAGATTCTATTCATATATTTTAATATATTTTCTCAATGTGTAGGCTGTACATGTATATTGATTCACGTACAGAAGTCTAGTCGAAAGGCGAAGGTAGAGGACAGGCCATAGTGACGAAACAGATCACGTATCATTATTACGAATATTGTTCTGTAGAAGTTCAAACTAGAAGGTAAAAAAAAAATTTGTCTAACTGTGAAAAATGAGTGTTAGCACCGATTAGTGTTAGCAGTGACGACTGCTAATTGATTCCTTCCCTCGTCAATCCAGCCAAGTTGGGCATAGGTTTTAGCCGTCTTGTCCCTTATAATAGACAACGCAAAGGTGATTAGGAACCAAAATTTCTTTCCTTTCTGTTGAGATAGCGTTCGTGCAATATCCTTAGTCTTATGTCTTATTACATCGACCCCCCCCCCCCCCCCCCCCATTATTATAATTCCTATATACACGAATCGTCTCTGAGTTAGTCGTTTCAAAGGAAGACATTTTGGGTCATTCTTCTTGGTGTACAATAAGTGCAAGTGACTTTTTAATGTTAATATTCCTATCAACGAACTAGATATATAATAAAGATGTAGTTATATAGCGACAAGTAATCTGACTTACTTTTTAATGATCGTAGTTACCAAAATCATGTAGTGTTATTTTGTCATGCGGTTTTTTTCAGCTGGTCTCCGAACCGCCCACGTTTCATCGATCGCGTTCTAGTACGATGCCGACAAATGAACTCCACGTCGTAGGCAGAACCTAGTCGATTTGACAGAGTAAGTATATTGGAATTGTATCGTATTTATTTTCGATACAATAACGCCGGTCAACAATTGCCGCCAGAAGAGATGCTCGGCCATATTGAAAAGCCTAAAATGACAGCCGTGCGGTACAGCTGATCTTCTGGACGATTACCTAACGAAAAGCGGCAGTATTCAGGTTTTAAAAAAATTGAATATACGATGGTAAATAGCGTTAATCTACCGGTCCTCGAACGAGTGCGTATTTTGCGCCCCTATGTATATATATATATATATATATATACGAGTGTCTCAACTACTTGGTAGGTCAGCGGTCAAACGTGATCCAATTATCTGATTGAATCAATGCATTGCTATTAGGTCTCACAGAATAATGTATATCGTATCATTCACCTCGTCGCTATATGCCTAAAGAAGTTTATTACAGAGCCTAAGGATAGGTAATAGTGACGTAACCTTAACTAGCGAGTCAAACCCTAAACGCGCAAATTCAAGTGGTTCATATGGATGGAATCTTTGATGGGAAAAAAAACATGGAAACAAAAAGCTAACATTTGTGAAAAGTGTGTGCGAATCCTAACTTTACTTTTAGTTTTGATAGACTAAAATGGTCGCTTCATCTACTATTTCGCCAGTAAGTCTATGAATACAACCCAACACTGCTGCATATGAATGCTGTTCCGTTCTGATCGATAATTTACATAAGGATGGAATTTTGTACAAAGATACTTTAATTTACTTTATAGAAAATACGATATAAAAACTGATTTGCGTCGCTTAAGTATACAATGTATAATAATCTATTAATAATAATCATTGATATTATATTATTAAGTGTAATTATGATTATAATTAATAATAACGACGAGGACAGTGATGTATTTGCCATAACGGCACGACAAATGAAGCCGACAGTACAATGAAGCTAGGATGCCGATGGAGTGCGACAAAATCGTAGGTATTGACGAAATACTTTGAACGTAACATGGCCAAAAAAACCACCGAGTTAATCAAGGTATAAATGGGAAACACCCAACAATGTCAGACAGCAGAGGTTCAGGACATTTTTATTGCGGACTGATCAAGGTGTCAATGGTTGCTTCGAATGGCTTTCTGTTAGCCGACTATGATTGTCATCCGATGCGGGAGAAGAGTGGTCAGAGATTTATACTGAAATAACAGGAGGGAGAGCATTTTCTTTAATGGGCAAATATCGTCCCCTTTGCTGAGGAGAGTAACGACTCGAGTCTTATTTCTGGTTGAAACGTCCGTTTGTACGTCCCGTGAACTGTGTGGTATAATGAACCTTATTTCCAGAAATCGGTAAAGATGTGCTGTAACGATAACAACTTGAGAGCCAAAACATGTAAATGTCAAAGCAGATCTGGCTTGGCTGTTAAACTACCTGGACTGCAAGAGTTCCAACAAAATGTGATGATACTTCAACAAAAGTTTCGACAGCTCAGGTTTTGAAGAAGACAAACTCACAATCACATTGTTAAGAGCTATTTAATGAAATAAAATTGAAGATTGTTATTCTATTTTTCTTTTTTTTCTCTTTTTTGAACTGGAAACAAATCTTACTATCATCCTTCCTAGAGATACACGAACTATTTTGCGTACAGAGCAGTATAAGAGCGTCTGTAAATAAATGAATGAGCTCATAATTTTATTCTGGTATTGTACAGGAACAGGTATACTAAAGCCTTATCCAATAATAGTACAAGGTGAGCCAAGTCGGACACTACTTAGTGAGGTCGTAACATGGGTTTTAAGGACGTATTTAATGACAGAGGCGTTTACGATGAACGTTGAACCTGTTACTTTCGACTGCATCGTACTTCAGTCGACGACCTTCTGCTGCCTGTACTGCTAACCGACTAGGAATGGCGCGTATAAAATGTGCAACAACGAGTGGGTATGAATTAAAAGGATCCGTACAAAAAAAAAGACGAGTTTATCAACGCGGTTCATCCTGTGCTTTCCGCCATGCTGATGTTTGTTTCACTATAAACTATGACTATTGATTTTTTGCCTTTACCATTATTCGCAAACATTATTCAATGTCCCCAAATTTAGCGATTCCCTCTGAAACGGCTTTTAGAAAGCCATCCAATAACTGATAATAACACTGATGTTAATTACTGCATTGTCGCCTCAAGCTAACTTAGTTAATAATAATAATAATAATAATAATAAAATAAAAATAACAATAACTTAGTTAAAAAAATAAAAAAAATTAGAGTAATTGTTATAATGAAAATAGTTCTGTCTTATTGCTTCTGAATGTACTTACTAATTTAGTTCATGTTTATAACGAGTATACGTAAAATAACGACAGTAGCTTAACCTCCGTTCCGGGGATTATAATTGAGTTCTTATAAGCTTCTACAAGAATTATCAAAAACATACCGATACAAATGACAGACATAGTGATCGAAGGCCCAACAACACATTGAAGGGGATTATACACACAAAGCTAGCAAATCATTTTTAAAACTACTTTATCGTTAAGATTTTCCCCTAGCACGACAGACAAACGGCTCTTTGTACGAATCATTATCACTAACATAGGTCTTTATTGCGGTTCACAAACTGTAAGATGCCAGCAGAAATCTGTATACAGGTACGTTTACCAGCTGATCGCATTTGGCGAGTACAGTATGTGGATGTCTTCGGACTCATGTAAAGGCTTCGGACAGTCCCGAGGTTCGGCAGGTGCGGTCACAGGCAAAAACGATCCAATGCTGGTGGAGCCTCAAATGCCATATATATCTACGCCCTCATTCAAAACTGCGTATCTTCGCGCATGGGCCGTCGCATCTGGCGTACTTAAGATGCGGTTATTGTTGCTAAACATTCAGTGGGCACTCGTATATTTCCAAAGTGTTATTAGGGGTTTATTGTTAGCGGTTACCCTCTTAACTCGAACACAACTCAAGAAAACATTTTTTATTTTTTAACTGGGGTGAGGAATACACTTTCATAGGCCCTTCCCATATCCCACTGATGCAACAGGTCGGTCAGCCAATAACCGCTGGTGAGAAACGTGACATAGTAGTTCACATCGTGGGCTAATACTTTGTAATGTTAACTTGCTTTTTGCGTGTTTCCGTGGTGGACCCAGTGATCCCCTCTCCTGGATAATCCCTGTAACTATATCTCAGGGTTTAGATCCGGAGTTATTAATATTTACCAGTTAGCAGCTGAAAATCAGTCGCAGGCTGAAAACGTGTAGGTACTATTAGTGTGGTCAGTGCACCATTCCTGTCTTCCGTTTCAGTCTCGTTAGATTCAAGATTCAACATCCTATGCTTTATCAGTTTTTGTATTTCTGCTGCATTAGGTCGGACTCATGTAGCAGAAGTGCCGGTCTTGATGCAATGTTTGGCTTACCCCTTAGCAATCTTGTTCATACTAAACATTCAATAGGCGTTATTACACTATTGACCACCAAAGCCTGCCCCACTGTGTCCAAATCATTTAACATATTCCATCAGCTAGAACATCAACTATGTTCAAACTATTTAACTATTTAATAAAAACACGTTGTCTAACAATAGTCAAAGGAAATCGTGAAGCTTAACAGCACCGCGAGACTAACAGCAGTCTGCCTTTAGTTAGCTCTAAAATCTTACAATATAGGACTTGTTTTTATATAATTTTCTGATGTGCTTGCAATATGTTTTACTGAGCTAGAATGAACCAATCCGGACGAATTCAGCGTTTTTATTTTGGGTGCATTGTCTGTAGATGTTCGAGAGGATTAGCTATTTCCAAACTTCAAAGCCATTTATAATAATTTAAAGTGTAATTAAGGAACAACGACGAGTGCCACGACCAGAGTCGAGTTGTGAACACCCGAGTGCTGTCATTTTATTGACCGCACAGGTAATTGATAATACGTATTTATCATAATTTAAAGCTTTCGTCATTCACTGCGTTTTTTTGTAAACTGCAACAACAAAAAGAAGCCCAAAAGGAAATTCCCATAAATTTCTCAACCAATGATTTTGTTCATAGAAAAGCTTCTGGTAGTGTGTCAAGCTTTCACTAATTGTCTGTTTACAAACAAACGAGGTGAATTGCTCCGTGGCAAAGATCTGAAATAGACGCAAGACATGGTATAACTAAACATGTCATGTCTATCTTGTATACTGTTCGTCAGATTTCTCCTATAGTTTGGTACAATTTGGTACGTTGTTTTTTGTATGTGCTATATATATATATATATATATATATATACATACATGTGTGTATATATAAAGGTATATACATGTGTATATATATATATATATATATACATGTATTTAAATTGTTTCGCTTCCCATGTGACCCGTGATCTCCTTGGCATTATATTTAATTTGATTATGATTTCTTTTTAGTTTTTTAAGCTTCTTTAATCTTAATAACGCACGTGTCTCTATAAGTCTTTCTACTATCTACGTCGCAGTACGCTTGTATAACACCCTTTCTCTCGTTTGCTAAGGGCAGAAAGCCTTTATTTTTTCCTTGCCCTGGCAAGGATGTTGCCGGTAGTGGTCAACTGCGCTCATGCATTAGTTGTTACCACCCTGTTCCCTGTACTGCGCTGGGCCCGAGCTGTCTTGTGCCTGTACGATCAGCTCCTAGCTTTACCTTTATCTAGCTCGGTAACAGCGAGGTCGACAATATCGCTGTTCGTGAATGATCAAGCTGTCATTGGAACGTCCTGACACGACGTCACGCAACACACACCGCTTTGGCTCACCATCGTAAACGTACACGGATCCCCTCGTTGTCGTTCGGCGCCCTGGAAACTGTCATTAGAATAGAAGCGTTAGATTGACGAAGCCTACTTCGACTAAAAGCCAGCAGGCGACATCGGAGGAAGAGACGCGATCAGCTGGGAAAAAGGTTAACAAATGGGAAGGTTCCCGGGGGAACTGAATAATATTCGCCCCGTATTGTTATTGTATTAGGAATTGTTTTGGTTAAACTATCGTTGTGGTGTGTGTCTGTGTGTGTGTGTGTGTGGGCGGGCGGGCGGGCGTGAGTGTCTGACATCCAGTGAAACCGTTTGCCTCTGTTGTTATTGTTGTCTGTGGCCGTCCGCGTAGTTGTGGCTCCGATTAGAGACTGTTGTGTGCGACATAAAAGGAAACGAATATCTTTGACGAAAGCACATTGTTCCATCGAAAAAGTCGACAGATCTGTTTGCAGTGAAAGTTCACTTATGCGAAAATCTGGGAACGGTTCCTAGTATCTGGGGCAGACGAGAACATCACATTTCAATCGCCTCTGGGATAGTCATTGTAGTTACTGTGTAGGCATAGCCATGCCATGACGAGACTATAGTAAATGAGGCCCGAAGTCTGTTGCCACAGTGGGCACTGAAACTTGTAGATGGCCTATGTGATCTATTTTGTCATCACAGGCTGTGGCACTGCAAGCGTATGCGCTTACTAGCTATTACCCAAATACCAGGTCGGACATGCGTTTATTATTAGCGCCATCTATCAAAAAAGTGATAAGACAAGGTCATATGCGTCTTTAAACCTGAACTTTCCGTTTTCAATATCTGACAAACTCATATTCATTAATTCTCATGTGAGTAACTCATTATCAATCGCCGGCCATGCCAATCAACTTGTTTTTCCAATTGGGCCAATTGGAGAATTGACATTTCGTGCTATGACAAGTTATTAGCGAACTCCGCTCTTATTACTAGTGGAGATAACAAATTTTGCCCATACGCACAAGAAGGTAGAAGTTCAACTCATTTGAGTTGAACTTTTACCCGTTGAAGTTAAGACCAACCGAGCACAGTTGACCGCATGGAATAAGGGAATAGAATGATCATATAGCCGATTTATCAACACTAAAAATAAATACAAGCGATTGGTGGAGCAATGTACACACGAATAGGGTGCAAAACAATGAAAGAAGAAACAAGTAATGCAGTTATGATACACAAACATACAAGCACATTCTGCCACGGATCGAATCTCCCAGGTAATAACGCTGCTCATAAAAAAACACCGCTATGCAGGCGACCGGATGGGCCCAAATCGTTAAGACTGTGTGGAATGACAGCAGACGCCCAGGGTATCAAGGTACTGTGCCCTATGGGTGAACAAGCAGTGGGGCAGTTGAAACGAGAGATTTAATGTGGCACAAGACACTACATCTATGGGGAAGCAAACAAAGCAAAGGCTTTGTTAGAGGGCGAGAGTTTATAGCTGCTGAAACGTTGGGCTCTAACAAGGAAATAGACACCGGTAATGGTACGCTACCCGCAATAAGGAATCGCGTTCTTTCATTTTTAACCTATGGTTTCGGCGGGGCGAAGTCAATTTAAAGATATATGCAACTATGAAACTTGATAAAAAGAAAAATCAGTCGCAGTAAACTTCACAGCGAACCTCGTTGAGAATGATGTTAGGTACTGAAGCATAATAGAAACTGTATTCAGCAAAGGATTGAAATGTTTTGCATATTGGATGCGTCTCTGTGAACTTGTCTAGATGTGCGAATCCGGTTTTCAACGACACTGGAAAAGACGCCCGGCTTGCATAGTGCTAGCCACTGCAAGAGGTGGAGCTCGCTTTGTAGAACACAGTGGAACCTAATGTTGAAGATGTGCTACTTTACGAAATTAGTTATTTAGAAGAGAGAAGGTCCATCCGTTCATTTTCGAACTGCTATTGCCAAACGGTAGATGAGTTTTCAAGCTAACTGATTTAAGCAGTCAGCGCATTATTGAGATAAAAGGCTTAGAAAAAAACGGTTCAATTAATATGCATAAATCAGTCACAGCTGCCTCTTTGTGTAAGCAACTGGGCGCGATGGAAGCGCAGCTTGTCCACTCCGATAGAAACTACTATAGTGGGCAGCGTCACGCCACTGTCTTTGCAGATCACTGTCGTAGACGTTACTAAATATAAAATATAAAAATTATATATAAACATGTAGGACAAACATCGTAGTTCTTCTCGTCTCATTCGAGTAAAGGCGTCAGTGAATGATGATAAATAACACAGTGTGTTTTCAGAGAGTTGAATGTGTGCGCAAAGCTAAGCCATGTTTGAATAGAGGCATTTTTTTCGTCACAACAATTGTCGTACCAGCAGTGACGCATGCGGCGCTAGTCAACCAATTTGCTCATCATTAATAACGATGAGCCCTAGGATAGTAAATGGGGTAGTGAGACGGAATATTTACCTGTTACCCTTAGGGACCCAACCAATCTAACCACATGATACCTTTAGTCAGATACAATTAGTTTCATGTAATATATTTAAAAAGATAATTCCATTTAGATAAATTAACTTATTTTAGACGCTGAAGTATAAAAGATATAAGTAAGCCCTCATGCCAAGCGCACGTGCTTAACTTAGGCCACGTACTGATGCAGAGGATGTGTTTTCATGACATAGTCCCACTAGCAAGTTGGCGTCTTGTTCGTAAATGTACACATTCTTAAGGAGAAATAATCCAGGCGATGGTATATTAAATGCTGTCACCAATGAACTGCTTATTTGTACCATAGATTAGAATCCATAAATGGATGGTCGTAAATAAATAACATATTGCAAAATAAGATGCCGTCAGTTGCATTTTGGTTCTTCTCCTAAGGCTGTTTTTGATACAGGCTTGACAAAATTAATGCCAGCAAGAAGCCTGGCTTACGGCAACTTTAATAACTGAGACAAGATTCTGCTATGCCAAGGTAATACCATTGACCTTAGTAGTCTCGGTATGCATTTGAACTAACTAACCCATCTATAAATTCTAGATAAACAGATGTTATGTTATATGTAACGTATAGAAACTAAACGGTCTCTGTTAATAGCGTGCTATATAGGAGAGGTAATGCAGTGTCAAGAATTTGCTTGCCACACAACGGTCTAGTAAGGCAATCTCAATGAGAGGTCGATGTCGATGATTACCTATCTCGATGGCATCTGTTAGTGATTGCTTCAAATCGTATAGCTGAACCAATTCAGATGTTAGCATAACTGCTCTTTTGGCAATCTCTGAATATGCTGTCAGGTCGTTGTTATTTTACGGGCTGCAATTGTAGTAACCAATTATTATTAACCAATTATTATTAACTTTGAGGGGCACCGTGGATGGTAGTTCAGATTTGTAAAGGAATAAATTCATATCGACCATGGTTCTATCATCAGCTTCAATCTAAGATCTTAATTTGTGATGAAAGCGACTTACTGGCCATATCAGTTATATTGCGGACTTACTTGGAAAAGTAGATTCTACATTCTAGATACCTTACAACTGTCTTCAACTAAACAGCAGAGGTCTTTGCCAATTTGTTTAGTGAAAGATAAACTTATTTGATAAAAACGTCATCAGTTACTATAATTACCTTAGAAGAAACGAAAGGCCGTCCAGCAACAGAACAGCGTTGCGGCCATCCAAAGGTCTAGTCACATATGTATATATATATATAGGGTAGTTCAGTATGAAACAGATTTCAAGGTGATTTTTTTCTAACTCTGAGATCGTTCAGTTGTATATTCCCACTTGAGCTTTAGGTGAGCGACTTGCAGTGAGTCATAGAAAATTAGGTATTCCGGGTAGTTTATAAATAAATGGTATATCTTGAAAGCATATTTAGAAAGACAGCTTGCCGCATAAATTTTGTAATTGATGAAGGTTGCACTTCCCTAAACAAAGTGAGCCATTTGTTCGAAAAAATTCTGGAAAGAAAATTTCGAACTCGAAAGCGGATCTCGTGAAAGATTCCTGCAAAAGAAGATAGCGAACAGCTAAGAGCCATAGTGAAAGACGATCCATCTCGAAGTGCACAGATGTTAGCAGTCTAATTTGGTGTACGTAACAGTACAATACTTTTTAAGCACAGTCGAATGGAGAAGGTAAGCAAAGTAAGGACAAACGGGCTACCGCATTATTTGAGCAGGGATCATAGACAGACGTGGAGACGCTTGCCTCTCTTTGCTCTCGTTTCACATTAGTGACCCATTGTTAGACCGTCTTGTAACTTGTAGTATAAATGGATCATCTACGACAACCATTGTCGGTTACATCAGTAAGTGGAAATAAGTGAATCGGTGAGAAATCACTTTACAACAAATGTACAGCTGCAAAACATAACGGTGTATGTTTGGTGATTTAACGCAGGTGTCATCGACTACAACTTCGTGAGTCGTGCCTAGTCAGGTACGGCTGAAGTGCTGTCAGCAATTAGAAGAGTAATCAAGGTATTTAATTTTTAAGTATCTATGTTCCATCTCTTCCTATTTCATGCTGTCTACTCAAAGCGTGTTCATCTAATGAGCAGTTTATTCAGTCAACTATCTATATTCTTATTATCGAATAGAGAACCAGATTAATTTTAGTTTCCATATATACAGTATGAAGTTTTGAATTTGGCAGAAACATCGTAACAATATAAATATCTGATGTGAAGATTAAAATTGGTCGGCGCGACTAACCTCGAAGGGTTTAAACAAATTTGTTTCTGTGGGATCGTAAATCGCAGCATGAAATGATATTCTTCCGCATGTTGCGCAACTCGCTGAATGGCTAAACGTTGATGAGCAAAAGATTTCTTAAAAACAAACGTTTGTGGAATAATGGCTGTCTGCATAAAAGACGATAGCAATTTTTGCACCTTTGAGCTTGGATGTTACTCTCATATTAAAGAAGTTTATTACAATAAATGTTTGTGTGTGATAGTTAAGTTTTCCCTGCCACAGATACCAAGACCATAAAGTTCGAAAATGGTAAAATTAATCTATGTTCGAAAATCATATCAAGAATATAAGGACATCATCGTAATATGCTGCTGGGAAGCAGCTGTACAATACAGATCGTCAACCGAAGTTCAAGGGGTGCGTGCTTTCCATGTTTGGAGCTGTCCCAGTGTGCTTTTTCATGGAGCAGTGGAGATCTTTTTTCTTTGTTATAATTGCAATAGTTGGTTATGATCTTGTTGGTACCCTGGCCATCATCTGCCAAGAAAAATAATAACGTGCACAATAATACGAGCTGTTATGATATCATAATTATAACTGTGTTCACATAAGTGTATGGCCCTTATTAAATGGGCTGACTAAGAAGAGCTTTGCTGTTTCTGTCATGAAGTGTCACTACGGCCTTCTTATTGTTATTAATTTCAGCTGAAAAAGCGTCGTCATGGCGGAAGCACATTCAGCCGTCGCATTCAATTTCACCGTCACCCATGAAGGAGTGTATATTGATTACGACAAAGAAGTAAGGCTATGCAGTACTATACAAGTTACAAACCTAAATTGGTTGTACATTAGCGAACGATTGTTTTGGTTATGGCTGTGACCTATTGTTGCCTGAAATTTAAATGTTTTAATAAAACCATAGTTAACACAGCTCTATTATATCAGTCAAGATACAATGCTCGCGGTGTTTTCATCTGATCGCATACTGTCATTCCGATGACCGCCAACGAGTTTATCGCCGTGTTTTAACGCCGCGTAATGTGATTGCACTACCTTTTTGTAAATACTAAATACCTAGGCCTATTCTAATGGATTTGTGCATCCGGTGACTGCCTGTTTCTAGCAAAAGCAAATAAGTGCTTTCTAAAGAAGATAAGCGAGAGATTTGTCGGAGTTCTACGGACAATAAGGCTGTTTCCACTAAAATGGAAGGCATTTTTATAGAACTACCCCGCCGGCCACTCCCACAAGCCATAACGATATACTTAGAATAAATTGGCCCTATGTAACAGGAGGAGATAGTGTTGAAAAAATAAAATAAAGAATCGAATTTTTCCATGAAAGGACCTAACAATATAACAATTCATCTCCGTATTATTAACATGTCTTTACTCCGTAGTTGTTGCACTCTATCGACTCATTTTCTGAAAACTCCCTAAGAACTTTTGAGAAGAGAAGATCCAATTAACTGCTCTATTACTAGCAATAACTGGCAATCTGTGAATAGATCTTTGCTGGTAGCCTGATATTGTTGTTAGTTAGCATTGCTGCTTGCCTTTTTTTTTCTGTACGTAGTATACTTGAGTTGAGCGGAGTTTCTTTTTTGTGAGAAGACTGACGGTGCTTATTAAGTTGCTGTGTTATCGGGCGTTGTGAACACTTTCGTGTGTTGAGCAATAAATTCTAGGTGCTTTAACAGATTTCTTGACAATATCGAAGTTGTTTGCAATTATGTTACTCTACAAACATGTTGCTGGATGTCTGAGCAGCTGGGAACTTTTCTTAGAAGGAACAGTCTCTTTATTTATAACTAAGAATGCAGAAGCTTGATGCCCATTTCTGTTACAAAAAATGTGCGTATCGCCAGCTGGTAGGTCTGCTAATTATAAGGTCCAGTTAGTGTGAAATGGCACTGTCGTTTTATATACTCTACGTCTTCAGCATAAAGAAAACATAAAACCCGTTAGTGCTGTCAACTAGGTTGGTAAAACTTAATGGTGTAGGCGATGGCTAATCTGAAGTAATCTTATTTTAGCTATTAGCATCTACGACTCAAACTATGGTATCTGCAGTTTATTTAAAGAAGCTGCTTTTTGATTCGCTGACTTATTTTTGACTGTCGTTTATTGAATGCACATAGCGGGCTAGTGATAGTCAGTACTGGGATTCCTGAGTCCAAAGTCGGAATATAAAGCTTTATTCGAAATCTATACATCACTACGAAGTGCCAACCTAGAATGCCAGTACCAACAGTATCCAAACTGTTGTTTCTAAGTTGAGGTTACAATGTGTCGATAACACAATGCGGCCATTAATTGCAGCTCATTTCGATCTTGTGGAAAGCTGGTGCGAGGTCGTGGCGCAAACGGTTTGCTCGTTTTATCAATAACATTCGCAATGGTTTATACCCAGCTTCGCATCGGTCGCTCGCACTGGTTTGGGCCCTTATGTTTGGCGGCGAAATCTCACAGAAGCCTTGGGCAGATCTTTCGTTTGGAACCGTAGATAAGGTGGCTTCCTGTATGCCAAAGCAATTATCGAAAGTTCACCCCAGTTGTCCTCGAGGAGTGGCTGTCGTTGTGACTGGTGCCGGTATTTGGACATGCTTAGCCCTCTTTAGAAGATATATGCTCAAGAGCCTTTTTACCTACAAGGGATGGATATACGAATCCCGGGCACGAGACACCAAACCGTCCATTCCCACGAGGCTCTGGATTATTGCAGTGCGCGTGTGCGAGGGCTCGTCTCCATTACTCTATTCGTACCAGTCATGTTTACCGAAACTTCCGCTGCCGTCTGTAGCAGATACTATGTCGCGTTACTTGAAATCCGTAAGGCCTCTGAACGATGATGAGAACTTCAAACGTTTAGAACAGCTCGCTAAGGATTTTACGAATGGCCCTGGGCGGCGCTTCCAAAGATATCTCTGGTTCAAGTCCTGGTGGGCTCCTAACTATGTTACTGATTGGTGGGAGGAATTCATCTACTTGCGTGGCCGAAGCTCGATCATGGTCAACTCAAATTTCTACGCCTCGGACCTAATTCTAATGCTGCCATCGTCCAACCAATGCGCTCGTGCCGCTAACCTTATCTACGCAGCTTTCTTGTTCCGTCGCATGATCGACTACGAAACCTTGAAACCCATCCTACTTCAAGAAGTAATTCCGCTTTGCTCCGCTCAGTACACGCGCACGTTCAACACGTGCCGAAAGCCTGGAATAGAAACTGACCGAATAGAGCATTACCACGACTCGACGCACATCGCTGTCTATCACAAGGGTCGTTACTACAAGGTCACAACGTATTACAAGAGCCGATTGCTCAGCCCACCTGAGCTACAGCGGCAGCTTGAGCAGATCGTGAATGATGATAGTAAGCCAGCACCAGGTGAGCTCTATCTGGGCGCACTAACTGCTACAGACCGTAAGATATGGGCCGAAACGCGAAAAAATCACTTCAGACAAGGACAAAACAAGGTATCACTGGACGCGATTGAAAAGTCCGCGTTTATGGTTGTGCTCGATGATGAAGCATTCGTCTACGATAGAAACGATCCCAGTAAAATGGATCATTACTCGCAGATGCTGTTACATGGCAAGGGTTTTGATCGGTGGTACGATAAATCGTTCAATTTGATTATCGGCAAGAACGGCCGTGCTGGCGTCAACGTTGAGCACTCTTGGGCCGATGCACCTGTAATTGGTCATTGCTGGGAGTATTGCATTTATGAGGACCATGCTACGCTCGGTTATGAAGCCGATGGCAATACAAAAGGCTATATTGGCTCTGGAACACAACTGTCGCCCAAGGAGCTTCCAAAACCTATTCGTCTTCGGTGGGATCTCAACGAAGACTGTCAAGCCGTGATTACCAAAGCGAAACTGCATGCCAGTGAGATCTTGAGTGACGTGGATCTACATGTAGAGCATTTCAATATATACGGCAAACGAATCATCAAAAAGTGCCGCGTATCACCTGATGCTTATCTACAGATGGCTTTACAGCTTGCTTATTTTCGCGATCAAGGTAAGTAGAAATCGATTATATACTATAGTCTGTCGCTGCGCAAAGCTACCACTAACATATATTGGTAGGTGTATTAATAGTGTGCAATAATGCCGTAACGTCGTCTTCAATATAGGAAGGTTCAGCCTGACCTACGAGGCATCGATGACCCGTTTATTCCGCGAAGGCCGAACTGAAACTGTGCGTCCAGTAACACCAGAATCCTGCGCTTGGGTGCTTAGCATGCTTGACAAAAACGCCACCAACGAAGAACGTAGGAAAAAACTTGTTGAAGCATGCAACATACACCAAAGGTACATTTACTACGTGCTTACTATGCACTAAAACTTTGTAAAAATATATATGCATGTTATAAAAAAATACAATTGTGCGCGTCGAGTTTTCGAGTCAGGATAAAATGCCACGTTGTGCTAAAATCCGTGATCATTTGATGCAGGAGAGCAGGTAGTAGAATCGCATGCCGGCAACCATTACAAAGCATTTTAGGGGTAATGAAAGATGTCTTAATAGCACAGTTTGAACCAACCTATTTTCGAAAGCCGCTCATTCTATAGACTGGTTCGCCATGAAGGGCAAAAAACATCAGTTTCAAAATTGTGTGCAGCGTCCTTAGAGGCTCCGCGTTCACGCAAAATAAGTTTGCAAATTTCATCTTTCTAAGATAATTGACATTTTCATTTTTTTTATAAAAATGAAAAGTGAGAAAATATAGTCGACTTGTTCGTTATTAAGAAAGTTTACCATAAATAGATAGTGATATCTAACACACGGGTGTTTATAATTATATTATAATTTAACTATAATTATATTATAATTTAACTTGATAATTAATTAGTGTAATTAATTCAACGTGTACCATAGCTAAGTATGTATGATTCGAATTTTCCACAAATTATTGTTCTATCTCCTGTGAATATAGGGGATATCAAAATGCTATGTGTGGCAAAGGGGTGGATAGGCACATGTTCTGCCTCTATGTCATCTCTCGTTACCTCGAGGTAGATTCACCCTTTTTGAAAGAAGTCCTTTCTGAACCCTGGAGGCTGTCGACTTCGCAGACGCCCATAAATCAAACGGGTTCCCTTAACTTTGACAAACATCCCGAATGGATCTGTGCTGGCGGTGGCTTCGGCCCGGTTGCTGATGATGGCTACGGCGTTAGCTATATGATTGCGGGAGAAGACAATTTCTTCTTTCATGTGAGCTCTAAGAAAAGCTGTGCTGCTACGGTGAGTCTTGTATAGCAGGTGGCATTTATCCCCTTAATATTGCCGGCTAATGTCTGGATTTGCGGCCATTGTAAATACTGAAATCTTTAAGATTTTCGTTTGAAGAGTGTTGACATCATATAGAAATACTTTATTGTAACTTTATGCGAGTATTATAAAAGTAGACAGAGGTTAAAGGGTATTTCGTTACACCATATTTCTTCAGGGCTTACTTTGGCGAACTGAAAGTACTAACAAATATATTTTCGTTATGTTTTTTAGGACTCCACGCGACTAGGTGAAAACATTAGGAATGCTTTGGTTGATATGAAGGCAACTTTCGCATAAGGGTTTGCAAAAGAAATGAAGAAATGATGGCATCTCGATGATGCGCCTACGTTAGTTCTAACAACATCACCTTTGCAAGCTAGTTAACATGACCAAAAAAAGAAAAGCAAACATTTTCGATTTAATGCTAAATTTATCATTGTGCTCAGATTTACACGGTCACGAGAAATGAAATACAGCCCCTTTGAAGTGTAGAATGCTTGTGCACTCTGGGATGTTTACCTGCTGAAGCCAACAAGCTTTTCGATTGCTGCACATAGCTTTCAGGTGTTTTGTAGGTTGTGTCTCGAGAGTGATTCTCGACTTACAAGTAGCGACAACAATGCGACTCTAATGAAAATTAATAAAAACAAATGCAATCAATGCCAGTTCTCTGACATCAAACAGTGTGTTATTTATTTACAAACTGAAAATAATATTATTGTTATTATTATCAAAGTATGTGTCAGCTTTATACAATAACGGAAACGCATTGTGGTTCCTCTCAACATGCCCTATACTTGTAGTTGTTATCATTAACTATACAAAAGGGTGGGTAGAATACGGTAGGACTCAAGATTTTTTGGGAGAGCATTTATTAATATTCTAGATATTTTAATTATTACATTAGCCACAATTCTACCCACGGATGTTGTCGTCGCATCATCTCACATTTTCAAGATATCACTTCAAACATATATATACCTGGCACGCTCCTTAATCAATGGGTATGTGTCTTCCTTGTTAGCGCTTGTTTTTCGTTCTACTGGGGTCTATAGTTAAGAGGTACAAACTAAAAAAAAATACGAATCTCGAACGATCATCGGACTTCGTGAGACTTTACAGAAAATCAGTAATCTTAGTAAGTGATAATAATAACAACGGTTATAAGAAAATTCACTAGTGCTGGTAGTAATAAGGGTGAAAGGTAATTGATTCTGATTTTTTAAAGATTGAGGAAAAATGGTAGTACGGCGGAAATCTCTGGTTACACTTTCATGTCATTATTTTTGCTAGGCCTGGCAGATTCTACCAACAACGCTGGACTTTCCGCCGATGTGGATCCGTTCCCGGTGCACAAATTTATCTCGCGCAAAACACGTTACTCTTAAGGTCAACCCACCCGATATCTATAGAGTGTATATATATATGCATACATTATTTATATAACATATGCCAGGCGCAGCTGGCTTCTACCGTTGGGCCTGTATAAGCCAAAATCTACATTGCTCAGTAGTTGCTCAAACAGCCGCATTTTGCTTCAACCCTTGATACTTGCCATCTTCATGTTGGCTTCTATCACTCACGTGCTGATCAAAAATTCGATAGCTATTTCGTTTCGTTCAAAAGTCGATTAGCTGCTTTTGCAATTTTTGCTGTAGTTCTTCGAAAGACCTGGCCCGTACTAACGTGAGCCACGCCGATAATTTCACTACAAGTCAACGTCTTCCTTTCGCTATTGTTATATAATAATTGCTTTTGTTATAACTTAGGTAATCACGCGTCCTATTTAGGCGATAAGCGTTTTCAGATAACGGTAAAGAAGCCTGTTTCTTAGGCGACGTAATGATATTTGCTGCTAGATTCTTTATCTCGTTCTAGATAGTCCCTCTCGATCAAGCACTCGATTCGTTTCTTCAGATCCGCTGGCTGCAATCATACACAAGATGTTCAAAAGAAACCAAGCATACATACACAAAAGCAAATACATGAGTATCAACCGATATATATATTATGATGATTGGCATATTAGCAGTTCTCTAGGAGTCAAACACAGCATAAAGTTAAATTCGTTACCAACTCTGTAGATTCTGGTTCAAAACATTTTGTGAGCATTAACATACGTCATTAACATACGAGTTGTTAACAGCATGTATAGTAATACTAAATCTTTTCCCAAGGATCTAGATATTTGTAGATGGCTTACCTTCACCGGGAATTTAAGCTGATCGTATAGTTCACTGATGAGTAAGTTGTGGGTGAGAGATTTGCGCATCTTCATAATACGAACGATGGCCGCATCGATTTGGTACTGACGATCCTGGAACACGCGTTCTTGGGTGGCGTTCTGTTCCTCCTTTGTCTCCTTCATCTGTACCTGATTGATCTTAATACGAAAGAGTACATTGCGGAATTCGGCATTCCATTCAAAGGTGTCACCATCTTCTACATCGCGACCTCGTGGCGTCTTTTGCAATACCTGTATAGCAAAAAGGGAAACGAAGAAAATGAGCCCAACGCAATTTAACAATAGAAAATAAATGATACACAATTTGCCACAAAACAGAATAATATTTGCTTTTTATTCAGTATTGTCGAGCGTGTCGCACTCACAACAGAAACAGAATAGGTAGCTACTTAATTTGAATGGGTATATAAGTTTTTATTTTATACAAATCGTTCTTACTCAACTGACTATAATGCTATGGTTAAGTGTGTTCCCAATGTTCACTAGCTTACCCTAGCCTTTCCGCAGGCAAGACTTTGCAACGTCCTTTTAAGTTCTTCATCCTCGATGTTTGTTAACTGCTTTAAATCAGATAGACTCAACTGATCTTGTTCATTGAATGGGAGAAGACATAGTGCCTGATACTGGGAAACTTGAAGCTCTTTCGCACCTTCGGGAAAAGCAGCCTTAAGTACACAATGGCCTAAATTATGTTGCCACTGAAGTTTCCTACCCGAATGTTTGCTTAGGTAATATTTTTTAAACACTTCTTGTGCTTCGACCATGAATGGCGGCAGGATGATGTCTTCGACAGCGGCATACGTCGGCCAGTAGCCGATTGTCAGGACGTACACCGTCATGTCAATTTGGTTGTGATGCTTAAAGTTCACCATCAGTTCTTTGCTCAACTCCATATCCTTGAACATTCCCTCAAGTTTCGATGTGAATGCGGCTCCACATTCCTGTTTGAGCTTTGATAACATGGACTTTTCTGCGTCGACCGAAGCTGACTTTCCAACCAGCAAACGTTTGGCAAGATCTTTCTTGTAAAACGCTTCAAACACGTCCTTTCCGTGAATGAAACGAAAAAGTACCATAATCTTGTCAAGAATCCGCTCGAGTTCTTCTTCCGTGGCCTCTTTGTTTCCTGACCGCAATTTAGAGTCGACAAATTTGGCTATTAGTTCCGCTGGCTTGTTTGGCCGCTGATTTATAAATGTCTCGAATGCCTCCTTCAAACTGTTTCCAAACTTATCATTTCCACCATAACATTCGGTCAGTACCCTATCCATTTGTTCCTTGAATTCAAGCAATTCTTGCACCATCGTCTTGTCCTTTTCTGGATCAGTGACAATTACTTTACCCCTCTTTTTTATGTACATGTTAAATTGAATGCACAAGAGGGCTAGGCCAGTTTTCACCCGGTTAAAAAGCGTATATAGTAGTTTGAGTTCAATGAAACGATTTTCATCCAGGAGTTGATCTAAACCTTTCTGTAGGATCGTTGACAGGTGTTGGCCAAGCAATTGTGTTTCTACCGTCTGAATAACCGGTTTACGAGTTGTATGATCCAGATAGTACTCGGACCGCTCTTTCTCCTCATCAAGCCTTTTGCTCACATGGAACAAATACTCTGCAACGGTGTGGCCGCTATCATCCGCCATCCAGAGTTTACCCTCAGCTGAGTACAGGAGCTCCGTTTCCTGAATAAACCGTCCTTCAAAGTGCGCTTCATAGAGATGCAGATCAGAGAGCATACGAAGGAGCGACTTAACCAAGCTTCGATCAACCTTCTGCAAAATAGAAGCAATAAAGAGAAAATAGGCGTTGAAGTAGAAACACAATAGCTTTTCTTATGTGATCGAATAAATGTTTTTACGTGCTTTAGTGCGTGAATAAAGAACCACTAACCGCTTCTCCTTTTCGTTCGTGCTCAATCAACATGAGTATCCCGTCAACTGTTCTTTGGCGGACATTCTCGTGCGTCAGCATGTAGTGTCGACGAAACACGTCTAAACCCATGTCCCATAACGAAGGTACCGTTGAGTTTTGCAGTACATAGGTTCGATCAAGGAACAAATAGATGGCGCGTATCATGCCCATTTGCTGGCAGTGGACAAGCCATGTCTCATTCATTGCCCGCAAAAATGCAAGCGCCCCTTGTTCGCGTGCTAGAAAACTTTGCGCTTCCTTGGCAACGTGTGAATCGACAATCTGAAACGGACAGATGTGCGTAAGTATTGACTATAAGGCAGCTAAAATTTTAAAGGTTTCTTATTGTTTCCAAAAGAGCTTACACAGATACGACTGGCAAAATTTCATTCTCCCAGGCGAATATTTACCCAGTCCATTTATCGGTGCTCAGGATGTACATTTTAGAATGTTCAAAAATAAATCTTGTCGTTCCAGGAAGTAGTTTTTTCTTGGGATGCCCCAACTGACGGGGTCATTTGAGAGCTGCATTTTATACAAAAACTTTATTATTATGATCATAATAAAATCGTTTTCATGCTGGTAATTTAATCGATGTGATCACGAATGAATGAAATGATGAGCAAAGAGTACTACATTTGTACATAAATTTGAAAAACCAATAATTATTATATATGTATAATTATTGGTTTCTTTTCGCCTTCTAAGGAGCTACAAGCCTTCCTTCTAAATCTTTCCGAAGTGTTCGTTTTTCGTGAACTCCCATAGCGGTACGTGTACACTACAATTAAAGCCAGGCTCTCATTGGAAAATACGCTAAGTTATTTATTTATAGCTCATAGCCTACTTATTGCTAGTGTTTTCGGGATATAAAGTATATAAATTGGCTCGGGATGGAAAAATTAAATTATAATTTTTACGACTCTGTTATTCAGTGCACGTTTTAGGAAGTTATTATTACTACTAGAGTAATAAATTTTATTCTATCTTTCCTTACCTTTTGAAGCTCTTGGTAAACTCTTTCCGCATTTCCATTTGCGGACAAGTTCTCTACGCACGCATAAAGAACTTCTTGGGAGGTCTCAATTCTTCTTGATGTTAGAACCGCATCAACGGCTTCTGCTAGCCGTATCCAGGCTTCATCCTGATATGTAGTCGAGACCACTGGCTTATCTGCAAGGAGCACAATTAAAAATATAAACCGATCTGGAGAAAAGTATATCAAAATACGCCCAATGCGTTGAGTTTATTAGACAATTCTTTTAGAAATCAAACTTTTCAGGCGGATACATTGGCAGCGATTACATATTGTAAACTCACTGACATTATCAGAATTTTCATTACGAAAGGAATGTGTCGATGGCGCGAGTAAACCCTTTTCCATGACATCTGTAATTACGGTGCGTCACTCCAGGGCCAATCGAACATTTACATTTAAACTTCCATCGTAAAATCTGTGTTACCGTTTGATGAGAAAAATAGTGCAAATTTTTTTTTCTAAACGTTATTATTATTCACCATGTTCAAAGTATTTTCAATTGAATTCCTCACTCTTACCATTTCCTATCAATTCTTAAAACACCTAGCTGTTATCACATAACTTGCAGTCAATCCATCGTGAGAACTTTTCGTCACCTTAATAATCACAATTAGTAGCCTTCTATACAAAAGAAAACACCCAATATTAAGAGCACATATGCATGTATGGATAGTTGTGTCAATATATATATTAGGGAGGCTATTATTGCAAATGACTTCCCCTTTTCGGCTAGGAATCGGCAGAATGTTATTACTAAAGCGTTTAAGACACCTACACATACGCACCAGGTATATGTGAATTCTTTAGAGCAATTTTAGAATGCGCTGCTTATATGAAATGGGTATGTTGTTTTTGGAATAGACTGTCTTTTGTAGGGCGTTGGTGCCATACAATATACACTTTCAAATCTAGCTTTTCTCCAAGACGTCCCCTATAGCTTTTTTCTTCCGAACAAACACCGTTAGCTGGTGTATTATTGCTCTAGCAATGTCACTTTAGCTACATTCTTTATCACAATGTTTTTACGAAACCATTCCGAGTACCACTGACACACAAATCCTCGCTAAGGTCTACAAGTAAATAATAATAACAGCAATGATCCAATCTATTGCCGCCATACGAGCTGCTTTTTTTTTCTTTCTCATAACAGAAGTTAAGTCAATTTTCAGCGGTGCCGCACGGTCCAGCGAATCATATAATGTTAAGCGCCAGTGCGCAGGCTCACTTTATACCAAACAGCGCTGCGTTTAACCGAAGCAACGTTAAATGTGTAGATTAACGTGACTGTTTTTTACGCTATACCACCTTATAAATCTTCATTGTAGCTGAATTTTGCTATAGATATATATATATATATATATATATATATATATATATATATATATATATATATATACTCATTGTGCTCACCGAAGTTCTTCAGAATCAGGCGCTTGACGCCGGCAGGCTTGCTCGATGACCTTAGCATGATGGATTTTACATCCATGCTCTGCCTGACGACCAAGCTCGAACACAACGTTCGCTTCACAGATGTGTCCACTCAGGGGGGTTGGTTCGCGACAAAGTCACTTAAGAGTATCCGAGTCGCTGCCACTGGTTCTGCCAGTACCTTACACACGAAGGCCACACTTCACAGCAGCAGTAGACGAGTCACAGCGGAGCAGGACCCTGCCCGCAGTACCGCATTTTCAAAACAACAAACAGCCGTAGATGTTAGCACACACACTTACTGCCAGCTACACTGAGCTGACACCAATATCACAATAATAGTCTATTTCTCCGTTCTTCTAATCTAGCGAGCAGCATTGACACGCCATAGAAACTTCGAGCGGCCTAATATCGAGTTTTGCCTAGCTTTTTTTCAGTGCTTTTCATTTGGCGCTTATTGAAATACACGCTATTTTGCAATTGATTTACGCAGATATGCCGGGTATTTCCTCGGCTATATAGAATAGGACTTATCTCGAAAAAGAAGAACCCATTGTGGATCATATGTGAAAATGAGTTCCGAATAGGGTTGGGCTGCGCGTTGCCCAGTGAAGCTTCCATGGATTGCTTGCGGCAACGCGCCAGAGTCAACGAATAAACAACATGGCTTCAAACATCTTGCTCGTTGCCGCTCCTACTGTGGGGGCTCAGTCTGCCGTAGAGGCGATGGTCGTGCGTAATGGTAGTGGTGCAGTGTTGTGACGGCGGCCAAGTTCTGGTGTTGATGCTGCTGCTGCTGCTATCGGTGGTGTCGAAACCCACAACGGAAACAAAAGTTCGATAGGAAAAAAACAGCGGCTCTTCTATAGCCAACTAAGTCTGACCGAAATAAAATTACGAACGGAACAAAGTGGCGAACAAAAACATGAGCGCCGGGGGCCCGGGCGGCTCCGCCGGAAGCGGCTCGAGAGCTGCTCACCAGCACACTCCCAAAGATGCACAGGTTATGGCTGCCTTGCTCAAGGATATGGGAGTTACCGAGTATGAGCCGAAAGTCATCGATCAGATGCTCGACTTCTCCTACAGTGAGTTTTCGAGCGGCCGGTAGGAGTAATAGCAATGCAAACAATAAAAGTAATCTGTGGGGTAGACAACCGTGTTTTGCTATGAATCCAGAAAATTCAATCAACGGAAGTTTCAGTACCGCATTTCAACCTCGCATCGGAGATCTGTCGAATAATTTAAATTGTTTTTAGCTAGACTAAAAAGGCTGATTGGCGCCAGTGTATTCCAATGGATTTATTAAAATGTTATAGAATCAACACGATAACATCACGCATCGCTTAATTATGTTCACACGTTTTTGAATACCTATAAGTAAAAGTTCGAGTGAAGACCTGGCTATCTATTTTTCTAAATAAATAAATTAAGAGATTTACAGTGTCGACAGTGTATGCAAAATTACAGCATAGATCTGGCCTTCCTTTCCTTAGTGAATTGTCACATGCTTCTTCAATTAGTTATCGATTTTAACACTTCAATAAACTCGATAGAGTTTAGGAAGGAAAAGACTAGATCAAATTATTAAATTACAAGCTTCCTGTGACGAGTTTCAAGGATTTCGGTGATTGTTAAGATTCAAATTTTCAAAAATACATTTTAGAAATTATGAATTTCATCTATAGAGTATAGTACGTAGAGTAGTGAAGAGAAAAATACCTGTTTGCACAAGATCAAACAGCAAATTTAATATTAATCCTATTTCTTTTTTATATATTTGGCAAAAATTATTTATACTAACTGCACAGTATGGATGTTTTAAAAAATTAGTTCAATTTAGTTTTATAGAAACGTTTCTAAAGAATTCATTGTGTGACCAAAGTATTAAAAAAATATCTTCTTTACCGCTGACAGAAATGGTAAATTAAAAATGACCCCTATAGACGTGTAAATCTAATCCTGTAAGTTATGATACTTTAATTAAATAGTACAAGATTTCAACTCGATGCTATAGGTATACATAGGTATTAATTGTTTTCATTTAATTTTGCAATAGCAAACGTCTAGTTTTAATCAGGTCAATTTATATTATTGTCGCCTAGCTTAACTCCAAATGTAAACACAACTGTGCGAAAAAAGACGTCCATAAACATGATGATTATTGGATGTAACTAATTATAAGTGTTTGTCTTTGCTTTTTTGTTGTTTTTAACTGTGGTTCAACAGAATATGTCACGAACGTGCTAGAAGAAGCGAAAGTCTGCAGTGGGCACGCGAAAAAGCGCTCAATAGATGCTGAAGATGTGCGGTTAGGTATTCAATTGCTCTGTGACAAATCTTTTACGAATCCACCACCTCGAGAGCTCCTAATGGACGTCGCGCGAGCAAAGAACGCCCAACACCTTCCGCTTATAAAGAGCACTACAGGAGCACGATTGCCTCCTGACAGGTATGGCAACCCTAGTATTGAAATAACTTCAATATCTTATTTTTGCTGTTACTAATATTTGAATATTCCGTATCAACAACCAGACATTCTAGTCATGCATAAACTACAACGTAATAGAGACGCATATGTTATTTAAAAATATAATAAGAGTTTCCAATTTTTTACTTTAGACTAAACATGTTTAATGTTGGGCTTCATAAATATCATTTATCCAGGCCAGTTCAGCAGTTCATATTTTCTGTTTTACGTACAGGTACACGCTCACATCCGCCAATTATCGTTGCAAGACCAAACCGCGCCCGCCAGCTCACAAACTAATGCAGACTGGATCCCAAAGTGGTGAGTATAGAAAACTGAATGGCTTTTATCACGTTTTAGCTTTTTCATAATTATCCTAATTGAAATGTGTATGTTGACAAATGTGTATAATGTTGTGTAGATATAGTGGTGAGGAAAAAAGAGAAATTACGTCAAACGCAGTTTTCATTCACTCTACATAATCGTACTGTACGCCTATATTGTTTCCTATTTGTAGACTGCGTTTTTTCATTACCTAGCTTCTACCACATCCCAATTTTCAATGAATAATAGAGGCTTCATTTTTTTACATTTGTGGGGCTTTTTTTGGTAAGTTTAGAGCACATAGTAATTTCAACACATTGAATCATTTCGCAGTCCTATCAAAAACGACACCCGCAGTATCGTTATCGTCAAAAAGTGGCGCTACCCTATCTGTCGTTAAGAAAGGGGGCTCGCAACCCTCTCAAGTGACAATCGTGTCGCGGCCAACAATTGTGCAGAGTGCGTCCTCACAACAGCACCAGCAGCCCGTCCCACGGCCGTTAATAAAACTTTCCGCAGGTAAGAGGAGATCCTACATTTTTTAGAAAAGGCAACAAATAAGCAGCTCAGCATTTTTGTATTAGGTTATCATTCTGTGTGCTTAATTGCTACTTTAGAGAACCGGTGAAACAAGTCAGCAGAAGTATTCCAAATCGGGCATTAGTCACACATAGTGAAATAATAGGAATTTGACCAACTCCTAGTGGATTTTTTGGGGACATGTATACAATACATTTTTCGGCGACATATTTAAAAGCACATCTGGTTTACTAAATTTATAAAAGTGCGAAATCTCTTTTAAACACTGGCAACAGGTTATGTGTTCAAAAATATCAAAAAAAAACTTAAAATCTTTAGTCCAAACTAAAACTGTGCCATTTTGTGCGCAAATATTTTCGTTCCAGCCTCGAGTGGTAGCAGCGGAGGTCCAACGGTGAATGTCGTGACAAAGCCAAAACCGATCTCAGTAACAGGAATGCCCCCGATAAACATCGTCAGCGGGGAGCGGAAGCGAAAAGCCGAGGATGAAGCGCATTAAACTTTAGTAGGGAAGGAATACATGTCAAGGAAATAATCTGTGGCCAAGAGATAGTCGATATTTGGTAAACATGAAGCAAGAGTTATTAAACTCAGTGTTAACTCCGCGAATTTGCGAAGCCGCCATCTTTTTCAAATAGAACCTAATGGAGTGCTAATCGAATTACCAGGGTTACTTACCAATCTGTTTTGTTGATGAAACAGGCTGGTTTGACTCGAAAAGGAGGGAATGTTATATTCCACCGCAAAAAAAACTTGATGACCTATCGACAAGATGGCGATGCGGGAAGCGAAGTTGAAAGAAACAGAGAAGAGCACAATTAGCTGAGTCAAAAACAAGTGTACATGATACCTCTGTATAGAATGACCATGATTGATGGTAACGATATATATTTAGTCCTTTATTACGCGAGTTGAGATTCACCCTGTCATCAAGAACCCTGTTTCATATTTCGTTTTTTGCCTGTATGCCTAATTACTTTTATAT